AGCGAAACTAAGGACATTTTCTTTCCCAAATGCTACACGAATGCCTATATTGCCCTTCAACAAACAAACATTCAAAAGATAGCCACGCTAGTAGCGGCCGAACTGACGGAACTGTGAAAGGGACACCGAACAGTGAAAATCCCTCCAGATAGGGCATGTCAGAATTAATTGCCATGCTCTATCTATCTGTACTGGGGATAATGCATGCTGATGCAGATCAGCTTCGTGAATCAGATGTTTCAGATTTTCTTCCCAGGTAACAAGGACACCTTCGTCGGCCTGCCGAAACGGAGTGGAGCGTTATTTTAATGTTACTCTTTGTTCCAGTCAGGAAGCTGCAAAGTGGGGGATGTTTACAAGGACTTAGAAAAGGCATCGTCTCCTCAAAGATAACGTATCTGAGGTCAGGAAGAAGATAGCGAAAGTGCCCTCGTTTATGCAGAATACCCTATCCCTTAGAGCAGAAATGAATCAGGAAAAAAACGAGTACCTGCAACACCAAACTGCTTCATCGAAAGCAGCTTCTCGCCATCTCATTCGTGCAATCAACCAGAATTACAGGCAGGAAAGAGAATTTTGGCAGAAGGCTGAAATCAGGAAGATCAGTAAGGGAGCCAGGAAGGTGACTGCCCAGAAGCATGCCAAGAATGACGACAGCTGCTTCTTCAGCAAAGAACCTACTCCGTCCTTTACCAGGACTCTAGTGGTGTCTCGTTGGCAGATAAGAAGGAACGCCTCAAAGGAATGGCTGACCATTTTCACTACCTATTCAACGGCTGTACTCGAGATTCGTCATTTCTGACCATTACTTGTCGGCCAACACTAAAAGTCACTATAGATCGATCCAAAAAGTTAGAAAGCAGCAAATCAAATCTTCTTGTTGCATCTCAAAGGGAAGATGGTCTACGGTATGGATCGAATTCTTCTGAAGTTAGTTAAGTATGGAGGAAGGAGAATGGTAGATTAGCTCCATACCCCATTTCGTGAAATTTGATCCTCACAATGTTTCCTTGGAGAATGGAAGAGTAGAAGAATTTTTATTATAGAACTCGGTTAGGTGACCGAGTGTTCCAATTATCGTGGTGGCACTCTACATTCAACTTCCAGGAAACTTTTCTCTTGAATTATTCTAGAAAGGCTGAGGAGGCAATTGATGGTACACCTCTCAAATCAAGCGGGATTCCAGATGGTATGCTTCTGCGTTGACAAAAGTTTCACTCTATGTAGGATCAGTTTTAGTCGCATTTTGTATGTCAGGTTCCTCGCCCGTGAGGCTACACTGGATTCAGTACCTCGTCCTATGATATGGAATCTCTTTAAATGTCATAGGATACCTGAGCACATTAATTTTACTTTGAAGAAGATGTACGCAAGAGCTATTTTTGTCGTCATAGTTGAAGAAGAGCTACCTGAATGTCTGAATGGTTCCATATCACCGACACAGTTCGCTTGAGAGGTGTTCTTCCGCCTTTGCTATTCCACATTGCTTTTCCTTCTTCTCCAAAACTGACCCTGGCAAAGACGAGGATTTCATTTTAGACCGAAGGCGCAATTTATGATATCCAGCTAAATACCTTGCTGATCTGGAGTATGCAAATAATACTGTACTGCTGAATTATGGGAACAAGTTGTGTCACCTGGCCTGGCTGCTTCAGAATGCAACAAACCGGCGAGAGCCGCCTCTTCCTTATGGTCCAGAAGTCAGAAGTAACCGTACGCCATGCCGCATATCTAATCTATAAGCGGAACAGGGAGATGAAGCCCTTCAGCAGATTGACCAATTTAAGTATCTCGACTTCATTATTTCTTGCGATGGAGAGGATCAAATTTTTGAAATCTAAAAAAGATTTTGGTTGAGAAAGGAGTTGCACATCTCACGAAATCTCCCTCTATCTTACCTCTGTCGGATCATTGTTGTTGTATGGACAGTTCTTCTAACGAAGGTGTAAGAACGACTGTTGAACTGCGTGCAGCAAAGTTGGGTTGTTAGGCATGGTGAGGGTTACAGGTGAGGAATGATTCTCTTCTCTTCCAGGTATGAGTACTCAGTAGATGTGAAGAATAAGAAAAAGAAATTGGTCCTGTTAAACACCCCATTTACTCCAGCCAATGAAATTTTCGTGTTAGATGCGAAACATGACAGACGTTGACCTTGAGGCCAACAAACAACATGAATAAGTAAGATAGAGACAGATGTGCATATGGAGAGGAATGACGCCAATCAGATACAGTAACCGGTGACTTATGGAGGTGATGTAAAGCTGCAGATGCAGGGGACATGATAGAGACGCGTTCCGCTTATGAAAGCTGCTCAGGATGATGATCACTATAAAAAGACTGTCAAAAGCGATGGTTAAAAGCTTTTCTGAATATCTTCCGTAATGCTCCTCAAAAATTCAGTTTCACTTTAATTATGTTCGAGGCAGGCAACGACTACAGAACAAAATCTCATTCAGTAAAGAAATGAGCAGCGATTTTTTCTTCCTAGTCGATATTTACGTAAGAACCTTTTTTATCGACCCATAGATTGTTGTTTAATGACGCAGTGTGAAGACGTGTGCGTGGATGAGTGGATCGATGAGTCACTGGATTTTGGAAACGGAGCTAGCGAATAAATGGGCGAATGAACAAAACGACTGGTGAATACTAAATGAATGAGCGAGTGAACGAGTCTGTCAATGAATGAATGTAAGAATGAATGAATTAGTAAATTAACAATCCAATGAATGAATGATTGGGTGAAAGAACACGTGAATGAATGAAGAACGAACGAATAAATAAAACAGGGAATGAAAGATGTTACAAGTAAAGACCTGGACAAATAATTGAATGAATGGAGAGGCGAGTAGCTGATAAGATCGAACGTAGATTTCCTCCAGTTTCACTTTTCTCTGAAATACATTTCGGTGTGAAGAGAAACTGTTGACTAAAGAACATGAGAGAATAATTGTTCTCTGCTCAGATTATCTAATAAGTAAGTGCAAAACGAGAAACATATGAATTCTTAACATTTACTCAGCCACCTAATGATAAAGAAATTAGACACTTGCTTTCAATGGACAGAATCGATGGAAAATTTTTAAAGAACTTGTTGTCCAAATAGTGACTATTCATCGTTCTAGCAGGTTTTCTTTCAGCCAACAATTAATCTTCGATATATTTCCCGCATTCAGCCTAGCGTGTGATTCGATGCAGCGCAGAATGGTTTTGTTGGTCGTTCATAAGTCGATTATCTCAAGGCACTGACGCATTTTAGCGTGTTTTTCATTTTTAAACTCCGTTATTATTACTTACCTCATTTATAATTAAATTCTCATTGAAATCCTCGACGAAAATTTAATAGCTTTGCAAACGTATGCTTCATTTAAGCAAGAGTTTTCAATTATGAATACTCAGATCGATTCTCTGCCCTAAAAGATGAATGTAATGACGCTCGAACGGCGCTAACAGTCGCCAGCATCGGTCATGAGGCTCATCCTCAGCGTTCTATGCA